TGATTGTAGAATATCGCATTGTCCGCAAAATCCCAGCCAGCTGAGCGTGGGCTTCCTCAGGGATTAAAAATAAAATGTTGTCCGGATTTTGCCATTTTGGCTCCCCCTTTTTTAGAATTTTGTAACCAAAAGTCATTTTAGGTAAAATGTAAATAAAAACCCCATACTTTTGAAGTGAACACAATTCAAAGGTGGTTGTTTTCTGGATTGTTCCTGGTGCGAAACTCTGTCCACCTCAACTCTCGCCGCAGTACTCACGTAACAGCGGGGTAGGCCCAACTAAATTTTTGGCAGCGAAGCTAACTGAAACCCAGCCTTGGTCCATCGGTTCAACTCGTCCATGGTTACTTCCTGCGAAATGCTGCAACTTTGCAGCGAACTTGGTGGCCAGCTGGCAGAATAAGTTCAGGGTTCAAATGCTGGGGGACCCATCGCCATTCCGTATCACTTCGTTCCCACAGTAAGGTACTGGAAAATACGTAATTAAAAAGAAAGCCATTGTACGGAACAGAGAGCGTTGGTTGTTTTTCTTTTCTTTCTTTTCCTTCCTTTTTTTGAAAGTACTCCCCGTACTTCCGTAGGACTTATTGAAGGAAAAATAATCAACGGCAGGATCTCCGTTTTCAATAAGACTTAGGCATCAAAGAATAACTGGGTGATACTTCAAAATCTGTGAGAATAGGTGTTTCCGATGCACAACAACGACAGACACAGGGTGTTATCCATTGGTGGTGATCAGAGATATGACGACAGGGTGCAATCCCACAGCGCCCTCAATCCAAGGGAAGCGGATGGGGGTGGGTGGTGGACATGTCGGAGTCGAATAAACCCACGAAAAAGCCTAGGCACGTTATGATCTGACGTACAGTTATATCGCTTACCGTCCATACCGGAAGAGGAAGAGAGCCCTTTATTCCTTGGTATCGTGATCATCCGTCATCGCCACTCCAACAAAACTAGAACGGCAAGAGTGCTGGATAGAACGTGCAAGTACCGAGTACTCTGTGCCGTTTCAAGGCTATCCGCGTAACTAATGGATCTGTCATTTGCACTGGAACATGACAGCCCAGGTAGAATCCTTGATTGAAACATGGGAAGTTGAAAACACCCGGGATTCTAAGCTAGCCTTATTATTGGCTTTTGCTTGGGCGGGGTGCCGACAATGGAAGTTTTAACTGTTTACTGCTAGCATTTGCTAGCAACAATTCAGAGCAGATTCCAGCAAGACCCAGACGGTTCTCGTGCCTTCTGACTTTCTCCAATCGCCTTCACATCGACTGGAAGTCCATGGACATGGTGCCTTCTTGCATGCACCCCATTCATCATAACCCTGGAGGTGAGGCAAAATTAAGTGTGGCCCTTACCCAGCCCCGTCTTTGCCGTCTCTGGGGGTGACCGGTACAGTCCAACAAATGGTCATCCGCATGTGGGGACGGGGGAGGGGAGGGGGAAAGGCCTCTTACGCTGCCCACCTTTGGACCGCCCAGCGCCCCAGCTCGCCAGCTCATTCGTTGGTTTGAGTTAAAGCCAATGTTGGCACTTTTGCAACCCCGTGCATCATCCACTTGAAATTGTGATTAGAATGAAAGGGTTGAAGCTAGCCTCACAGGGCGTTTGAGCCAATTGCCCTTGGATCACACCCTAAGGCCCTAAGAAATGAATGGATTTATTTTACGGAGTACTCCGTACATTAAATGGACATTTTTTGCTTATTTGAAGTCCGTCGAAGCTGTGAAAGTTTCCCTTTTTCCTTTTGAGAGGCGTCAAAGGGATGGTAAATAAATCAAAATAAAAGCCATAAAATTGCAAGGCTGCAACCAGCAACGAACTCCTCTCCCGGTTCCCTAATGGAACAAAGGACATTGTTCACATCGCGATCAACCAATGTACGGGCTCGTCGTACGTATAATGTGGCGACTCCAGACACCCACATTCACAACGTACTCACTGCTCACTCGCTCACTCGTTCATCAGCACACACATAAGGCGATGTGTAGGTGCTGATCTGGTTGGCTGGACGGTGCAGAGGCGAGAGCCTGCCCTTTAAGCTTTGATTTGAGCACAAACACCCCCAAAAGGCCCCAAAAAGGAGCTCAAGGATAACAAGGGGGTGTAGGGTATACAGAGTAGCAGAATGATAATTGATGAGAGCTATGAGAAATGTGCCTGGTGTTTCTTATTTCTCCTATGCAGTTTTATCTGTGGCTTGTCGGATGTCTGGCCCCTGGATTATGAAAGTCGACGGTTTAGGCTGATAAAAAAGGGGATGACTTAACATATTAAAAATGAAATAAAATAATATAAAATAAAAACACACAATATCCTTTCCCCTCATTCCCCATCTCCTTGTGAGAGAAGCTAGAAGTCTTGTTGCATGTTCCATTTCTTCAACCTGCCCCTCCTTTTCGTATCGGTAAGGGGCCCCCCCAAGTAGCCCAAGACAAACCTCATTGGCACGGATCGCAACATAGCTGTGCTGAGTAACTCAACTTTCACACACAACTAATTGATACATACAACTCCATATCACGCCCACAGAGTAATTAATTAATACTCGGGATTTCCCTGTTAGTACTCCGTACGAAGTAGGTTATGGCAAGATAGCAAGATACGTCAGTAGCCATCGTGAATTGGCTTGAAAAGAAAAGACGGAAAGTTACCAGACGAACCCCCTCTGCCCCTCGCATCCCAATACATCCACAGCACAACTCCTTCGCCCCACCATCCTTCTGCAGAGTCATTCTGTCCCCAATGACGACGCGTTATCAGCCGCCTTCCCGAAGCACCAAGAACCGAGAAAGCCATTATCACTGTGACAGTAACGCACTTGGCAAAATAGGCGCTCTCCCTGCATGTTCCTCTCGCATTAAAGGTTAATAAAAAGTTTCTTATTTATTCCTTTTCATTTTTTAAATCTTGTCAGAGATTAGGCTCATCATGAATGCACATAGCCCTCACCGATATTTGCTGGGGTTTTTGAGTTAATTAGGTTTCTTTTGCATGAGCTTTGGAGGACTACTCTTCGATCCCCAAGCCTAACTCTGTCTGGGACTGTACAAGGGTTTTACCCGTCCAGGGAATTAACTTTCAAGGTTAAGAAACTTACTACCGTAGCGTACCGAAAGCGAAAAGTATTAGCTGAATGAGTCCGCTGCTCCATGCAAGCAACGAAATCAGCGAGCAGCTGAATAACTTGATACAAGCCACCAGCTGTACTCCCCCTAATTTTCCACCAAAAGCGCTCTCGCATGGGGTTTATTCCTATTCGTTGACAAGGACCGCTGGCGGATCAACCCACAACGCCTCCGCGCCTAACTCACGAGCAAGCTACCCGGTGTGGCTAGGGGTGAGCTCTGTATCAGACGATGGGTCCCTCCCTCGAATCTCTCCCAACAGAGATCTTGACGATAATTGCCGTCAACTTGGATACTTTGGGTCGAAGATTGAGCTTGCTATGCACTTCCCGCCGGCTCTATGACGCTTTGCTGCCTGAGCTGTACAGGTCTATATACCGTTCCCAGGGAAATATCGTGCCTCTTCTTCGAACAATCCTGCAGAAGCCATGGCTTGCTCAGATGGTCCGCGAATTGCGGTTGCCCACCACAGAGCGGTCACTCTTCACGTCTGATGAAGATCTAGGCTATGAGCGCTGGACGGCTCTGGCGACTGCGGAGCCTATTTTACGCATAGCTGTTGAACCTTTCTGTAATGACGACGTGTATGAACAAGAGAGGTGGCTGAGGGAGCTTCAAACTTGTTCCCCAGATGCGCTCATTAGCCTGTTGGTGCTCTCTGTGCCGAGGTTGGAGAAATTGGAGCTCGAGCTGCCCGGGTATCACTATTTGAGTCGAGTAGCCAAGCGGTCTGTTGGAAGAACGTATCAGGGAAATAATGGATTACCTAACAGCAGTGAATATGACGAAGAAAATATGGGTCCCATTATTCTCCCTCACTTAGCCTCTGTGCATATGTATTGGCCCAGGGACACCCAAATTCACGTCGACCTAGCATTCCCTTTCTTCCAACTACCCTCAATCCGATATTTCTCTGCGATAGGCTTCCTCAAATCAGAGGCAGAATGGAAGTACAAGCGTCAATCCCAGGTAACCCATATACAGCTGATTTGTTGCTGTCTAACAGATGGAGCAAAGTGGATGATCGAAAGCTGCAAGAACCTGCAGTCATTCATATATCTCCATTCTGAATGGGACATATTCGACGAGAGCCCTGGTCAAATGATTAACCCTATCCCTGAAATATTTCGAGACTCCCTCTTTTTAGCTCGACGGAGCCTGGAAACACTCTGTCTGGACTTTAGCACGGATACAACAAATGGCGGCACATCATTCGGCACTTTGGGCTCCCTATCGGAGTTCATGGCACTAAAACATCTTCACCTCACTGCCTCTACCCTCATGCCTCTCTACTACACTCTAGACCCTCAAGCGCGCCCTAGTCAACATCTGTGGGAGATCTTACCGACGTCTCTGGAAACGCTTCATGTTGGAGGAGTGGGACGTGATCATGCCGACGAGGTCATGGAGAGGCTCTCATCATATGTGAAATCTGCACCTCAGCATGCCCCTTACCTTTGCCAGGTGCTTGTCATAAAAGGGATGACGACGCTGGATAATGCGGCTTATAAAGGGTTTGTGACCGTTGGTGCTGACACAGGCGTGCTCTGCGAGTTCAGGAGGTTATGTACTTGTTTTACGCCTTTCCGTTACAAGTAACAGCTATGGAGAGAGGAGGGCTGTCGAGCAGGGCGATCAAGACTGCAAAAAAAAAAAAAAAAAAAAAAGGCAGATATGAAAATCATTTCTGGGAAAGGATTTGTTTGAAACCCGGGAGAGGGGACAAACAGCACTTCTGTGCTAACATGTTGACTTATTTTATATCGTGTAGAGTTACTCCGTACTTCCTAGGCATTTTTAAATTTTCAAGTTTGAAGTGGTTGAAAATTTGGTGGGGTGGCAAAGAAAAAAAAGAGTCAAAAAGAACGACACCAGCAGGATTCGAACCTGCGCTCCCGAAGGAAATGCCTAAACTTACAGCGACTAAGCGCCGTTTAGCAGGGCACCGCGTTAACCACTCCGCCATAGTGTCGGAAGTTTATTACGAATATCACCCTTCCGCCAATATTTATACAGCTACTTTATCACACAATATTCAACAATTTATCTACAGTCCTCTCTGGAGAGGAATTGGAATTGCAATTATGTATAGAAATATCTACTCGTTAGTTCTCATTCATACTCCTTGTTCCTGAACTAGTAAGTACAGAGTAATAAGAGGTTCGGTATTCTTGCCTCTTTTTCTCGGCAATTACCAGCTATGGCTTGTCACTATCTATCTGCAGGAAGGTCCAGGTCCACAACTAGAGGGCTATTAAACTTCTTCCCCCCCCGATGCGGCCAGTTCGTTGCCATAATAGAAGCATTGACAATACACGTCTCGTTTCTTCCAGTTGTGACCATGTTGTTTTGTGCTCCTGGCGATTCATCCGTTACAGACGCGGTGGGCAACAGGGACCCCAAAGAGCCATCATTTTGAAGGCGAGGCTGTGTTCTCCCCGTGAGGTCAACTAGACATAGCTTTTTGCTGCCAAAGGGAGGAAGTTCTCCACGAACCGAACTCAGCTCCTTGAATTTTTCACTCCGCGGCGCAACGCCCCACAGAACCCTGTCGTATCCTCGGCCTTCATGGACATGGCCACAGATAGCTAATTTTGGACGGACTCTCCACAATGCTTGACGTAGATGTTCGCAGCCGAGTGAGCCGTGTCTATTTCTGTCGCAGTGCGACCGAGGGGGGGTGTGAGTCAAGACTATATCAGTATCTGGAGGTATTTGGGCCCAGATGTCAGGGGCTTCTTCAGAAGAATAACCAAAGGCCCATTTCCCGCAGAACGGGACGTGCGGAGACCCAAATATTTTGAATACTGATCGAGGTCCTTCCCGTTTAGAGAGTCGAATAACGGCTGATTCATGGTTCAGGTAAATGATTGAAGAGTGGTTGAATAAGGCCTGACACTCGTCTGTTGACTCAGGCCTCTGGTTGTGGAATGATTGCCCGTGTTGTCCGTAGAAATTACTGTCGAGTGTGATGTCATGGTTGCCTTCAGATATGTTCGAAATGTATTAGTTTTGTCCTTCGACGACAGTCGGTTGACCGAGAGAATAGTATCTAACCCGCAATCACAATTTTCACTTCGAAATCCGCACTCTCGATCCATTCTACGGTTTTGCGTAGTTCACACATAGTTCCTTGATTCGATAGATCTCCGGCATGGATGAGCACGTCGCCTTTTGGTAGTTTGAAAGCACCATCTTGGGGTCCATAGCCATGTGTATCTGAAACACACACTATTCGGGTTCGAACCATCCTTCGCTTGTCACAATGTATCGGTTTTTGACAATATCTAGAGCTTCAAACCAGACGTTAGGAGATCAGGTTATCATCAGGCACCTGGCTCGTTCAAAATAGATGGGACAGGTGAAAAAGACACCATTCTGACAATAGTTGTCAAAAGTTAACAGCTAAGCACTGAAGTGAGAACCATAACTATATTGTTCAACACCTATGTAGAGAAGTGTGTATGAGCCAACGGTCGTCATAGACAAATCCTCGAAGACGCGAATGGAACATTACTAGCCAAATCCAAAGCTGCCCATATCGCTGAATGGTTTCAGGAGAGTTCATCACACTATTGGATGAATTTTTTGGCTGTATGGGTCCCAAAGATGACAAAAACGTTGACATGGGGCAGCTCATCAACTATTTCAATTGCAAAAATTATGTATACGGTGTGAAGCTAATTTCCACCTACCACGCTCGGCTCCATGGAACATCAGAACTTGATGCCGTACGAAATGAGTCTTCAGGATATTCCTTTAGTTGTAGTTGTGGAGGTTCCTCTCTAAAGTAAACTGAGAGAATGGGCCATGGAACTCTAAGAATGAAACATAGATCCCTGATATCTGCCGAATTCAACAAGAAGCGAAAATATTATCAATTAGGAAATGTCGAACTAGTGACTTTGATGATGTGGTTATGTCTTTGGAAGGGAGCCGCGGCGCTTATCATTATTAGCAGATAAAACATATTGATGTCTCAGAGTTTTTGAATTAACTGAGATGTGACGAGATGTTACACTGAATGAAGGGTGAGAACATGTAAAAGAGGGGAACGTATGAAATAACAATTGTTAGAACAGTGTAAAACGAGACGTGCTGGCCTGAGGCACTGAAAACAATTGCCCTCTGTGGGTTTGATACAAAAAAAATTGGGAGCAGACCGGTTTCACAGCTATTTTAAAACGTCCGAGGGTGGAGTGATTGCAAGGTTTTAGAAATGCCGAGGAAAATGTCAAAAGGGAAGGCTCTGTGCTGTGCCCATGGGCTCTGACATACGAAATCAGCTTGAATGGGTCGATAGACGTTTCTCCTTTGGCATTCAGCATGCAGAATAATGTTCACAGAAGCTGCAACTTATTTTGTTGAAGCAAGTTGGGATAATCACATGTCACGTGACAAAATCAGTTCGATTGGGCAACTTAGGGCTGGGACCTGTTCTTCCACACAAACTAGCCCTCGCTTAGCCATTTCTGCCCATCGATCCTCTCCGGCTGCGTGGTTTGAAGAAGGAGACCACAACGACCAACGACACGATACCCAACCCGACAATACACTACACAAGGTGTATCCCGGAGCATAGCTCATCGCCTTGCTGGATATTTGCCTCGTGAACCGGTGACAGAGCAGGATGTCCACCTTCGAGCCAGTGGTGTGTTAATCTTCTTACCGCCTCGGGCATTGCGCCTTTGATAGGACTTAGATATCTAACTGGAATCTTGCGATGGATATAGGTCGTCATCGACGGCAAGGGGCATCTCCTTGGTCGCCTGGCCAGCACCGTCGCCAAGCAGTTGCTCAATGGCCAAAAGATTGTCGTTGTGCGATGTGAAGCCCTCAACATCTCCGGCGAATTCTTCCGCGCTAAACGTACAAGCTGCCCTTTCTTTATTGCCTTCAGTGAAAAGTTACCATATGAGGTCCTGGGGGAAAAGGAAACTGGGAGTTTAGGGCATTTTTTTCGTGACTGACTCGAATTTTCGCCTACAGTGAAGTACCACGCTTACCTCCGCAAGATCACTCGTTACAACCCGACTCGGGGCGGTGAGAACAATATTACCTTGTGATTCCTACGTAGCGGAACGACAATTCCACTAATACGGAGTTGCAGGTCCTTTCCATTTCCGTGCTCCTTCTCGCATCTTCTACAAGGCTGTCCGGGGCATGATTCCTCACAAAAGTGCTCGTGGCGCCGCCGCCATGGAGAGACTGAAGGTTTTCGAGGGTGTCCCACCACCATATGACAAGAAGAAGAGAGTTGTCGTTCCTCAAGCCCTCCGAATCCTTAGACTGAAGCCCGGCCGCAAATACTGCACGGTTGGACGGTTGAGTCATGAGGTTGGCTGGAAGTACCAGGACGTGGTTGCAAGGTCAGCCACTAGCAATAACCCAGGGTCATATATTCAAGTTTGGGCTATTAGTCGGTCTGCTAACTATACTTTTTCTTTTCAGACTCGAGGAGAGGAGAAAGGTCAAGGGTTCCGCATACTACGAGCGCAAGAAGGCCGCGCGGAGACAACTTGCACAAGCCCAGAAGACTGCCAACGTGGATCAAAAGACAAAGACCCAGTTGGCGGAGTATGGTTATTAGATTTCTGGGGAAGGGGAATAATGGCTGGCTTTAGGTTAGAACTGGGTGCAATGTGAACGGCAAACCAATCGACCTGTACCTATACTATCACGAAAAACACCTTTAATGAATCGAAGGCTAAGTGATTGAAAAGGGAATGGCGGAAAAAGTCGAAAACATGGATTTTCTTTTTTTACCGGGTGCTGTTGAAACGATGCCTTGTTCATATTATTACTTCACAACTGCCTGTCTCTCTAAAATTCTTCCATGGCGCTTAATACGAGTGGTTTCTTATTCCAAAAAAAAAAAAAAAAAAAAAAAAAATCCGAGGCATATCATATGTAGGCCCCTTTTCACCTCCATATCTTTTTAAGTATTCCGTAGCCCTGGCTTGTGTGATGAGTGATGTGGCTGATGCGATTATCCGATTTATGGGGAACTAGCTTTATATCGTGCGCATTTTGTGGGGTTT